TCTAGTGGCACCCCTACCCCCAGCCTCTCCTACTTCCCTCGGGAGCAATCCTGCACCCATACACGCGAGGAGCCCCATTGTAACGATACTCCGACATACCAGCCACCCTGGCTGCAGGTGCTGGGGTGAGCCCTCCTGGGACCACACATCCTTTTACCCTTTAAGGCAATGCCCGCGTTGTTGACCAGCACGTCCAGGAGATAGAAACATCAATGATGAGAGAGGATCACTGATGGGCTGCCTCTGGCATGCTCCACACTGGGGATGGAGCCACAAATGCGGCATTGTCCCTGACTGGGAATCCAATCATGACTTCCTGATTCATTGGCCAACCCTCAACATCTGAGCCAAGCTGGCTGGGCTCAATTTATCTCTTAAAATTAAATAGTTCTGCAAAAACAGTTGTATGCCAGCTAAAGGGTAAATCAGTTGTTCAAAGGAGGACAAAATCTTGGTATGTCCTGGCTTTACCGGATGGACTATCTGTTCCTTTCCATCTCTCCTTAGGCCACACTGGCTCCTCCAAATGGCAGGCATACTTCTGGTCCTGTGTCTGTATCTGTTATAAATTCTATATAAAGTGTATCCGCTCAGTGATCCTATGGCTGGAAAGGAGCAGGGAATCGGGGTGGAGGGGAGGGGAGGCGGGGTGTGAGGTTGTGAAAATAAAGGATTAAGCTTGGCCAGAGCAAGGTTTGGCCTTGGCCCAGGGCTGCTGGGGTAACCTTTAAACTGTTGGACTGTTCATCCTGATAAGATTGTGCTATTACCTTGAGGGTTTAGGGTCAGGCTACACAGTGGATGTTAACAATATGGTTATGGTGAGGCTACCTGGTATCAAATGGATCCCTGGGGGAGGTGCTGGAGAGGAAGGTCAGCCAAGAGTACAGCCGGCCATGTCCATGAGGCCAGCCCGAAGCAGACACACCTGAAACAAGGTGGGTGAGCTTCCCTGGACGGCAGTGCTCCCTGTTACTGTCACACACACAGCTGCTGTCCGCAGGACTCCATGCGAGGACAACTGGAAGCTCCCTGCCTGGGCTTCCCTGGCCCCTGGCCCCTGAGATCTCCCCCACTGGCGATTTGCATCACTCTCCCTTTCCTCTACTGCTGAGCACTGCGGTTCTGAGTATAATGGCTTCCCTGAGTTCTGAGTCCTTGCAGGGATTCTTGAACCTGAGGGTGGTCTTGGGGAACTGCTAAACTTGTTAAAACCAAGTGATGTTTATCTCAGATATGCATGGTTGGTTTAGCATCTCGGAACCAATAGGTGCAACGCCCTTTATCAGTAGAGTACAAAGAAAGGCCCCTGTGATCAGATGCAGAAGAGTTCAGGGGCCTAATGAATTGGATCGGGAGGAGGGAGGAGGGAGGATCTGGCCTGGGATCCTCAGGGGACTCCAACGGTTGTGAGGGACACGAGCAATGACTGGCCTCTCTGA